CGCGCGGGGCTGGGGGTTGGTGGGACGGGACGGGGCTCGCTGTGATGAATAAATACCAAAAATGGGGGAGGGGCAGGTGAGTTGCAATTGGAAGGGAAGATGGGGCGTCCCGGCAGTGGGGTTAGGGTGGAGGGACCAAGGAGCCACTGGGCTCATCTTCATCCCCATCTGTGTTACATCTCCTTTGGGATGCTGTCCTGGAGTCACCGGGCTCATGGGGGACATCTGCTTGTCCTCACCCCCAGCCATCCTGGGGTTGCATCTCCTCTGGGATCAGGGAGACGCATCCTAGAGCCACCAGGCTCATGGAAGATGTTAGTCATCAGCTCAGTGTCTCACCGTCCATGTTGGATCTCCTCCGGGACCAGGGAAACACATCCTGGAGCCACCAGGCTCATGGAAGATGTTAGTCATCAGCTCAGTGTCTCACCGTCCATGTTGGATCTCCTCCGGGACCAGGGTGCCGGATCATGGAGCCACGAGGCTCATGGAGGACATCAGTCCTGAGCTCAACGTCTCACCATCCATGCTGGATCTCCTCCAGGACCAGGGAAACACATCCTGGGGGACGGGACGGGGCTCGCTGTGATGAATAAATACCAAAAATGGGGGAGGGGCAGGTGAGTTGCAATTGGAAGGGAAGATGGGGCGTCCCGGCAGTGGGGTTAGGGTGGAGGGACCAAGGAGCCACTGGGCTCATCTTCATCCCCATCTGTGTTACATCTCCTTTGGGATGCTGTCCTGGAGTCACCGGGCTCATGGGGGACATCTGCTTGTCCTCACCCCCAGCCATCCTGGGGTTGCATCTCCTCTGGGATCAGGGAGACGCATCCTAGAGCCACCAGGCTCATGGAAGATGTTAGTCATCAGCTCAGTGTCTCACCGTCCATGTTGGATCTCCTCCGGGACCAGGGAAACACATCCTGGAGCCACCAGGCTCATGGAGGACGTCAGTCATGAGCTCAACGTCTCACCATCCGTGTTGGATCTCCTCCGGGACCAGGGTGCCGGATCATGGAGCCACGAGGCTCATGGAGGACGTCAGTCCTGAGCTCAGCGTCTCACCATCCATGCTGGATCTCCTCCGGGACCAGGGAAACACATCCTGGAGCCATCAGGCTCATGGAGGACATCGGTCATCAGCTGAACATCTCACCATCCGTGTTGGATCTCCTCTGGGACCAGGGAAACACATCCTGGAGCCATCAGGCTCATGGAGGATATCAGTCATGAACTCAACATTTCACCATCCGTGCTGGATCTCCTCTGGGACCACAGAGACGTGTCCTGGAGCCACCAGGTTTGTTGGGGACATCAAGCACCAGGTCACCATCCTCACCCATACGGCATCACCAGTCCACCCGCAGCAGCCGCGTGGCACCACCCGGCAAGGTAACCAGCACCGGCCACCCGGGACATCCACCAGGTCCATCCCACCCAACCCTCCTCCGTGGTGGGTCCCCATCGTCACCTCCTCTGCCAGGATGAAGTGGTGCCGCCCTCCTCATCCTCCCCATCGCCAAACCCCATCACTTGTCCCTGGCAGCCGCCCGGGCGTGGATGCGCGTGTGCCGGGCGAGGGAGGACTTGTTGCTGAAGCTCTTCCCGCAGTGGGGACAGGGGAAGGGTCTCTCGCCCGTGTGCGAGCGTTCGTGCACCGTCAGGTCTGCCAGGTACTTGAAGCTCTTGCCGCAGGCGGCGCAGGGGTAGGGTCGCTCTTCGGTGTGCGACCGTTGGTGCATGGTGAGGTTGGACGGGTGGCTGAAGCGCTTGCCGCAGGCGGCGCAGGGGTAGGGCCGCTCGCCGGTGTGGGACCGTTGGTGCTTGTTGAGGTCCGAGGGGTTGGTGAAGGTCTTGCCGCAGGAGCCGCAGGCGTAAGGACGCTCGCCCGTGTGAAGGCGTTGGTGGGTGGTGAGGGTGGAGAGGTGGCCAAAGCTCTTGCCGCAAGCCCCGCAGGCGTAGGGCTTCACCCCGGTGTGGGTTCGCTGGTGGGTCTTCAGGTGGGTCAACCGGCCGAAGCTCTTGCCACACTCGCCGCAGGGGTACGGACGGTCCTTCCCCTGCACCGATGGCTCCCGCTTCACCCAGGGCTTCTCCGGCCTCCTGGGGTCCTCCACCGGTCCCGGCGGACCATGGACAAGGGGCTGTTGGAAGGTGGTGAGATCCCGTGGGACTTGTCGCCGGTGGGTGCCTCTTCGGGCCGGGATTCTGGCTGCCGGGACACCCTGGAGGCTGCCGGGTGGGTGTGGGGGGTCTTGCCGTTGGAAAACGGACGCCTCTGTGTCTCTGCTCGCTGTGGTGGGACCTGCTGGGAGGGAAGGAGGTGCCGAGTTGGTCCTCCATGGAGGACACCACTCTCCTCCCCCGACCCCACCACCCTCAGCCTCCAGCTGGGATGGAGACGGTCCAGCTCCCACCACGGAGCGACCCCCCGATCCATCCATAGATGGCCATTGGGCCACGTTGGGACAGGGATGAAGACGAGGCCACCTCAGCAGAGGAGCCCGTCCGGCACAGCCGGCTGCAGGAAGACTCGGTGAGGATCCCGGGACGCTGCAGCAGCCATCCCAGAAACACCGGAACGCCCTCAGCCGGCGTTGCCAGCCTCACCACGCAGGAGGAGCTGGATGGAAGGGAACAAGATCTTGGGGCTCATGGTTTCCAGAGGACACACGGGAAGAACAGGAGCTCTCTACGGACACCCATCCTCTCCAAGACCCCCATCCTCCTCCAACCTTCCTCCTCGCGCCCCAGCGTCACTGTGGCGGCACCACCGCAGGATTCTCCATCTGGATCCTTCCTGAGGTCGCACCTTTTGCCTCTTCCTCGGTATCCCACGGGATTTCCCAGAACCAGGATCTCATTTCAGACCCTTTTCCCGCCTTCGCTCTTGTTTGTCCTCCACCGCGTGACAAAACCGCCCCCAGGAAGAGCAGCGACGCCAGGCCGGGGGGAGGACCGGACGTGGCCGAATCCGCGGCCGGAGACATCCCACCCCCCCCAAGTCCCCCCACTCCTACAGCAGCTTCATCACCCCTTTTTTTGGGGGGGGAGGGAGCTCTTTTTCCTTCATCCCGTTACCTGCGTCCTGCACATGATGCTCCTCTTCCTCGGGGACAAACTTGGCCTTGCCCCGGGACCCCTCCTCCCGCCAGCTGTCCCTGGGGGGGAGCTGGGGTGACTCCGATGGGGGGCTCGGTGGGTTCCCGGCCATTTCGGGGTCCTCTGCATCCCCCGGGGCCGCCTCCTCCACCTTCACACGCACCGTCACCTGGGGGACCCAAGGAAAAAGGGGCACCCAGGGGCTGTAAGGGGGGAGTAGTTGGGTGCCTGGGACCCCCAG